CATGCATACTTTGAGGTACAGTTGTATTCTTGTAATATCCTTATTATTATACATCTTTTCCTTCCAAGGATACATCCAAAATCCAAAAAGTTTAGAACAGAATCAGCGAACTTCTTTGTGTGGAGTCTAGTCAAACCCTGATGGCAGCCATGTTTGTTTTTATTATTAGAGGACGCTTACGCGCCTCTATATTTGGAATTTCTTTATATGGTAGGATAAAAATACCCCGTAAAATACCGCAAAATTACGTCACGCTGTAACATATGGCGTTATGGTGACAATAATATCATGTAACTCCATAGTGTATCCATTGTTATGTTGTCAGTATAATCATGTAACCTCTTTAAAGCGATAGTATTCCTCATTATGTAGTATTACCATTACCAGTAAATATGCTTAGAGTGATAGTATCCATCGTTACGTGGTGTTATCATGTAACCTCTTTAAAGCGGTAAATTAAATCTTCTTCATTATGTAGTATTATTATTACCAGTAAATATGCTTAAAGTGATAGTATCCATCGTTACGTAGTATTATCATGTAACCTCCATAGAGTGGTAGTATATTCATTGTAACATATTATTTATATATCATCCCAAATATTTTTCTTGATTACTGAGAAAATATTGTGGGAATATGTATTTATTACACGCATATTTCCACACTCTACAAAAGTGAAACAGCGGAGTATTGGAAGTGGAACTATTGCTTAAATAACACAGAATACAAATATATCATTGTGCACACCTCATACATGTATGCTGATTTAGCTGACACAATGATGCTCTATTTCATGTATGTATGGGGGTCTAAAAACTATCTCTGCGACGCGATTGTGCGACTCGCCGAATGTCGATTATTGCACTCTGCGACAGGATCGCAGTGTCACTCTGTGAAGAGCACGATTCCTATTGGTTGGTTGGTCGAACAGCGCGAATCCCAATGGTCGATGTTCACCGCAGGTCTTATAAAAAATTAAGTTTTAAATGGTAAAAAAGGTACGGTAAAAAAAGTGTGTAAACACTATGTACCGGCGACATGCCGCACTGTTCGGTGATCGGCAAGCACATGGAAGACAAATTGTGGGACCAAACAAATGACACATGGTTTACGGTTTTTAGACACATCACACCGCTGGCTAGAAAAATTAAATAGTGTAATGTGCACGTTGGTTTTGACGTTATTGCCATCTTGGAGTTGTAAGGCTTCGTCCGCAACTATGCTCATTAGGATAGACGGCAGCTTCAAAGCGAGTGGAACGCGAAGTACTTTTCAAGCGTTCTGCAACGAATCTTGTACGTCTGCTTTGACTTTGTTGAGTGCATCAAGGAAAATAATTTGCATGCAGTGAAAAAAAATCATTCATGACGTGCAACGTTTGCCGTGACAGCAGTTGTTTGCAATCGTCTGCCTTCGTTTAGATCATAAACGGACTCAAGACTTGTGGTCTGCGATCGATCAGCTGGTATTTTAACCACCAGAAATGAAATACTTTGCAACAGTTGTGAAAAGTAAACAAAAACAGCGTTTGTTTGTGGTATGAATGTAATTATTTTTGTATCATAATTTTTGAAGTCAGTATTACTGAAAATTGTGGTTTATTTGGCCAAATTTCGGTGGTCCATATTGATCTGTAGCGGGAAGGGAAATTCTTCTTCTTTTTTTCTTGATTTTCCAATAATTGATAAAACGATTACTTTGTACCTTGATTCATCATCCCAGCTTTTCGAAATTTCGGAAAGACCAGTGCTTAAACGCTAACACTACTACCGTTTCGTTAATATTTGCACAATGTTTATACCATGTATATGTATACTACCGGTTATACTCTGTTGTTGATGATTCTGATAGAACGGGTGACAAGCTTCCTGTCGCAAACAATGCATATTTATCTAACATCCATTGTCAGCATTGTTACAGTCAAGACTTCGTCTGAGAAATCGTTTTATTTTCTAAGTCTATATTCTATTTTAATAACACCATCTTACTAACGCAATGGCGATAAAAAAAGAAAGCAAAGACGCCAATGACAGACGAGGCAAAGAAAAATCTGCAACTCAGGGTCATATTTACTAATTTAGACTTGCCTGCAGCCTGTTGTAATTCCGATGCAAAATTACAGGACTTTCGCGTTCACCCCTCGTTTATGCAATTTATATTT